AAAACCACTCTGATTGCCAGGTTCATTAATGAAGTGAAGGACAAGCTGACAGCACAAACAGCTACCAAATAATCTACTTAGGGCGTACTCACACAAAGGTGGCATAGCAGCAAGATCTGCGAATTTTGCTATCCCGATTTTGCTGAAATGCCACCCCGCCCGGTCACGTAGCGGCAGCAAATCACAAAAGACCCAAGCCGGACTTTCTGGCAATTGCCAAAATGGTGCCTCGCGTGGTCACACAGCGCGAGTCCCAAATCCTTCAACTTCCTTTTTTCCCAAAAAAGTTCGTTTCGAATTTCCTTTCGCCGACTCTCCAACTGAAAAAGAAAATCTGCTACCACCTCCAGAGGTGGTAGCAAAATGCCCTTCCCCGCGGCCTGCCAGGCAGCTGACGTTTGATACCCCTTTTGCTGCTTTTACCACTTTCCCCACATCGTGCGACTGGCCCAACCATCAATCAAATTTTAGCTATTTCCCTACACTTCTAGAAACCGCTAACGTGAGAATTAGTCGATCCGGGCCACCCGCGGTCCTACGGTCCTACCGGCCCTACGGTCCGGATTTTCGTGCGATCTTAAGACTTTAAGACTTTAAGATTGCGCGAAAATCCCAACCGTCGGGCCTGCTGAACAGCCTGGATCATCACGCGATCTTAAAGTCTTAGGATCGCAGGACGATCCTGGCCATCAGCCCGGTAGGACCACGGGCGGCCTGGATCGCCGCGCCCGTTGAAAAGCGCGGGGGCGACGATCGGCCCTATCTTTGGCGGCGCAGCGACGAGGTGTATAGGAAACTTGACAACACACACTCATGGCCCCGCCCATCCGCACAAGCACATGCGCAAACACACATGCACATGCATGCACACACCCACACGCACGCACGCATGCACGCGGCGAACTTGACAACACGCACTCATGGCCCCACCCGCCTGCCCGTCCGCACAAGCACACACAAACACACGCGCACATGCATGCACACACCCACACACGCAAATGCATTGTGGGCAGACTGTCGGGGTTCAACCTCCTGATGAGTTGGTGAAAGTCCAACGAAACAGTCTGGCACAGTCATGCTTTTTGAGGGGCGGTTCCCATGAACACATGAAGTGTGTGTGTGTGCGCGCGCGCGCGCGCGCGAGAGAGAGAGAGAGAGAGAGAGAGAGAGAGAGAGAGAGAGA